CGTCCCCCCTCGCCCTTAGTCACACACCATATATGGCCTTAATCGCTCTCCACTGCTCCCATTGGTCCGTTCTCCCTAACCACCCCCCCTGCCTATTTCGTATATAAGCAGCACCTTCCACATCCTATCACCACAGCTACTGCTCTCCGCAGCTATTCAACTGCTCTGAAGATGGAGGCGCTACGTTCCTCCGAAACGTCGGCCAAAACGAAGAATACACGGTGCCTAAACCCAGAAGACAACTTTCTTCATTGTCATCGCCGTGAAAACCTCAAAACTTACATTGATTAACTCATATTCAGCAAAATACCTGAAAAAATATGGATCCTATACAATATAATTTTTATTAATGGTTGAAATTAAGTACACAACTGGTGCTCGTCCAGCTCCCTCTCTTTACACTGATTACATTTCCCATTTTGTAAAAAGAAGAAGAAGAAGAAAGAGGCAGAAAAGAAGAAAAGAGTTTAGTATTCAGAGAAAATAATACTGTAATACTGAAACCACATGACACAAGAGTTTGCACAGCTGTCAGAATGGCAAAAGTCTAATTCTTTCAGATTTGGTTTATACTGCTCACTGTGGCTCTTGCTTTTAGGACCACNCTCTGTGGTTTTAGTCTGCAAGCGAACTATACTGACCGAGCGACCGCCGCTTGTCAGTGAAGTTAGTGCCAACTTTAGCGGATAGAGGGTGTAGTGTGGTCAGCCCAATGAATCCCCGTGGCCATTAATTTCAATTTTCTAGACCGGACCCGATATTTCCTTGAAATAGCTCCTCAGTTATTCTCACAAGGCTGAGTGGACCCCGTTCCAGACCCACTACTTCTCAGAAAATCTGGTAGCACTTGGAATCGAACCCGGACCTCTGGGTCTGTAGCCAAGAATCCTGACCACTAGACCACAGAGGCAGTCGATTTTTAATCAAATATTTTTTTAATTATCTGTGTTGTTTCTTCCTTGAACTACCATGGCCAATGAAGAGCACAACAGAGTCTTAAACGAACATGTGTTCCATGAAACTTGATTCTTTTGCAGAAACTGATCTGATGGATTTGTTCCATTGAACTTGATTNTAATACTGTAATACTGAAACCACATGACACAAGAGTTTGCACAGCTGTCAGAATGGCAAAAGTCTAATTCTTTCAGATTTGGTTTATACTGCTCACTGTGGCTCTTGCTTTTAGGACCACAGAAAGCAGAATCTTTAATATCTTTCACAGACATTGCATTTTTCATCTTCAGCGTTAATGACTTGGGGGGGGGGGGGGGTTGGCAGCTCTTACATGGAACTCAAGAAGGGCAGTAAGTAAGCATGCTGCCCATTGTGAGCTCTAGCTATAACCCCCCACACCGCCATCATTAACCCTAAAGATGATAACTATTTGCTGTATTCCCTTAAGGTGAAGTCATACACTAAGTTACAGCCACATAAATTCAAGGACAAGAATCATGCTGCTTCCATGTTTAATTTTACATTATTTTTCTCTTAACTGAATTAATTTCATAAACAAAAATATGGAGTTCATGTACCTTTCTTGCAGAAGTATTTCAGACTTACCATATCTGGTGACAGGCTGGGATGTACAGTGGAACAGAAGATGTCCCACCACAACTGCAGCAAGCGCTGCAGATGTTCAGAACCTTGAGGAGGTCTCACCAAACGAGTTTCAGAATCAAAGTACTGAAGCCATGGTTTATTTGACCCGATAAAGTGCGCAATTTTTGCACTTTCACCAAATCTAGAATTAAACATATTAATCATTGATTTTATGCTTTCAGTGTGAGTTCTGTTCTTCCATTGCTGCACCATGTGGACATGGGCTACATTTCCAGCGTTTCAGAAGTACATACTGCCTCCATCTTCAGGGTTGAAGTGTGTAGGTCGGTGAGTTTCTGTGTATACACAGCCATGTTTTGGAAAGAAAGGTGGGTGGAGGAGGGAGTGGGGAGTGGGGAGTGGGGACTGGTGCCTTGTCAGGGCTAGCAACGTACCGGCATGGCACCCATCCCCACCCTACTCCCCCACTTCACCTGCTACTTTTCAAAACAATGCTGAAACTCACTAACCTACACTTTGACCCTGAAGCTGAAGGCAACATTTACCTCTGAAACGTTGACATCATCAACCAAAACACACAATGCATCAACCCAAGAACAGGTCAGTTCATGTGGGATTTTTGGTGGACAAAGTGGCACTGGGGCAGTACCTCAATTTCCCCTGCCAGTTCGCATTCCAACCATTGCTCCACAAACATCATCTAACATCTTGGGCTGGTACAATAGACCAAGGAGTGGTTGCAGTTCCAAGTGGGCTCAGTCTCATCCCATGAGAGAAAAGAAAACATCAAATATATTTATGTTACTCCATTCAATACCGACATTAGGGTGACGATCATTAAACTTTCTGGTTCCTCTTTTGGACTTTTTGTAATATTTGCAAACATCATTTTGAGTTCAATATCAGACTCTATCCGATAATCCAAATAATTTTACACATATACTCGTAGACATAACACATGCATGTGCACATGCACACACACACACATAAAAGATCCTAGCAGTGTATTATAAGTTGACCTCATCAAATGTTCTCTGCCAGAAAAGAAATGCAGCAAGTAGAATGGTGTAATAGTAAAGTTCAAACAGAACAAGGAATAACAAACAAACCCTCTACTTCTCCATGTAATTGTCTAAGGAGGTGAGGAATTTATTCAGACAACATACAACCTGTTTAATTAAAGCGGGGAAGAAATTAGGGCTCAGTCTTTGCACCCAGCAGCACACCTCAACTTTGACATCATCATGTCACAACTTTCGTCCTTCATTGTTACCTTACAGTCTATAAACTGACAAAAGAAAACGCCACCGATAACTCCTCAACAGACGTCTGAGACCATCTTATTCGTTCACCATTTGGTCTCAACACTGCGCCCAGTGATTTCTGCTTCTGTGCATCACTGAAGAACTTCAAAGGAGATCACTTCTGATCAGTGGTTTCCTGCAGCCAGTATACACCGATATGTGTATCAGTAAACAGTTAAAGTGAACCGGCAAATGGCTGATGCATACCACCAAACACGTCACAGGACAAGGGATGTATACCTGCTAGTACATCATATGTTTCAACCTTGAGGCTACAAGTACCAGCGAACATAATTTTAGAAAAAAGCGCTGCTTCTGACATGAGATGGTGGCCAGTGTGTAACAATGGGCGCAGAGTTTTTATTTATTCTCTGTCAGAACCGACCATGTTATATAGCGTGTATCCCAGGAGGAAAGGTCAATATACTGGAAGCTTACGTATAGTATCAGTCATTCTAAGCAAAAAAGTATATATGTATATGTATCCTATTCCGAACAGTTTCCGAGATAGAACTATTTCACTGTATAGTTCCAAAGCTGTTGATAAGAAAGAGATATTACGTACTATTTCTAATGCCGGTATTTACTGTTCAAGTGGCAAAGTTGGTGCAGTTTACCCAGCACAATACATTTTTGAAAATTCCACCTTCAACATCAATGCACTTTGTAACTCGTGTGAGGACATGGCGTGTTGCTCGTCTGTACAGTGAAATAGCTCTATCTCGGAAACTGTTCGGAACAGGACACATGTACATATACACTTATTTGCTTAGAATGACTGATACTATGACCTCCAAGAATACTGACCGTTCCTCCTAGGATAACCTGCACAAAATACTTTGATTAGTCTAACAATTACCTGGAGAAACAAAACTCCTGTCCATTATTACTTGTTGTTTCGGACATCTATCCATATAAGGATGATTGTAATATATCCCTGAATGATAATTACTGAACAGCCTATGAATTCAACATAGTTCTAATCAGTTACCAAAAATGGCACATATTTCCAGCATGATATATAAACTCATATAACTGTCACAAAACACTGATAAAACAACAAAGGCCACGCATGATGCTTCGATATGTATAGCTAGACCATGGTAGGGTCAAGGTCATTTCTTGTTAATACATTACACAAGCAGTGAATGGGTTAATATTTTAAGTATCTACAAATGACAGTCAAGGCTGTATAATGATAACTTGTTCCATCATCTTTTGTAAAATAAATCCTTGTGTACCCACTGTCAATATTTCATTTGGTCAAAGTAATTTTTTAATGAAGAACTGTTTATTTCAAAGTTGATATACCAGCAGAAGTTACAACAGCTGCCATGGTAGCAAAAGCCCAATTATATCATCACAGATTTATATGGCATAACTTCAGCTTTTGGGAACAAGTCCTGCAGAATGCTGAAGGGTGTCCAACATTTCAGTAGACAACACAGTTGTAACCTCGGGATTAGTGTCTTAAAGGGGGCTTAAGAATCCCTTACATAAATCTGGCAGAGGGAGTTAAATGGGAAGAGAAGACATAACGGACATACCAAAAGGAAGTGGTATCCAGTATGTTGTAAGCACATGGTTCCGAAAAAGACAAGGCCTTCCTAAAACGTATGTCAAGATGTTCGAAGACCTCCAAAATTCTGTTATTTATTTCCGAGAGCAAATCATGCATTAAGCTCCAGTTGTGAAAACACGTGGATAAGAATGCAATTACTGTTTCAACTTTCAGTCTTTGAACAGAGGACTGTGGTGTTATCTACTGGCAAACATCTAAACTTTTGTACATATTCAGCAACATTGCACAAACAGGATAGACTGACTTATGGGGCCTCCAGCAATAAAAATAGGCTAAGACATCTTATGGGGATGAGCAAGCTGCCTCAAGTGGTAACACTTCTAACTTCTATTCAGGAGATGGCCCACATGAATCTCATCTGGAACGCTACCTATCCTGGCTGATGATTTCTGTGGTTTTTCTCAGTCCTCAAAGGTGACTACTGGGATAGTATGTCAACTTAGGCCAACAATATTTCCTTCCAAATCTCACAATTCGTTGTTCACTAACCATCCAAGCGTGCTAGACAGTCTGAACTAGTGACAGCATCATTAAATAAAAAAACAAACTCCATGGCTTTAGTCGGCAAGCAAACTATATTGACCGAGCGAGCGCCGCTTGTTGGCGAAGTTAGTGCCAAATTTAGCAGATAGAGGGTGTCGCGTAGTCAGTGCAATGGATTCCCGCAGATATTAGTCTCGGTTTTCTGGACCGGAGCCGCTACTTTTCCATTCAAGTAGTTCCTAAATTATCCTCACGAGGCTAAGTGGACCCCATTACAGACCCACTACTTCTCAGAAAATCTGGAAGCGCCGGAATCGAACCTGGGACCTCTCGATCTGTAGCCAGGAACTCTGACCACTACACCGCAGAGGCAGTCTCATCATTAAATAAATAATACACAAAATAAATCTTATGGGCCTTAAGTTCCAGTGGCATCATCCAAATAAAGTCAAATTTTCACTTCATGCAGATGTCAGTTGTTGATGGCCCTACTAAAAGCTCAATTATTATGCATCACAGCAATTAAACATTCCTGACAGCCGGGACAGGAACAAAGTGAGATCTGAATTAACTAACTCCATGAAGAAGAGTTATCCTTGAGGAGCTGATACTTGCCCATCTCCTGAAGAAATCCGTCAAGTTTTATGAACGCGGAGGAACATTACTATGCTGACGAAAACCTGCTTAGAAAAGCCTCTAACCCTCCTATCCTAGTTCCCTCAGATTCGTTTTAATTTATCCTCCCATTTATGCCTAGTTCTTCCAAGTGGTCTCTTCCTTTGAGGTTTTCTGGCAAAATTTTGTGTACATTTTCCCATATAAAGACTAAATTTGATTATCTTCCTGAGAACTGTAGTAGGTAGGAGGAAAGATTACTGTTGGGCACGTCACTAAATGAACACTGAATGTACCATAGCTCAGGCATTTAGTCACTGGCTTCTCATCATAGTGACTTGTGTTCGAGTACAGTTCAGGTGATATGGGATTTGTGGTGGACAAAGTGGTGCTGGGGCAGGTTTTCTCCCAGTACTTCAGTTTCCCCTACCAATCTTCATTCCACCAACTGCTCTACAATCACCCTCACCTATCATCTGGGGCTGGTACAACAGGCCAGACAGTGGACTCAGTCTCACTCCATGAGAAAAAAAAAAAAAAGAACACTGATGACATGATGGTAACCTGCCTGATACACTGCACATTACATTAGTATAAAGAATGTGCAATCCAATGTGTACATGTGCAAAGTGGAGGGCTGTTGCAGACAGAAGCCGAGAGATACTTACGCCTTATAAGCCGGAAGGTATGAGTACGTAGCTGTAGACACCATGTTGTAAATAAACGGTAAGTGACGACTAATATCCTTTGTTGCCCAATCAGAGAAAAACAAGTTCAAGAGGCCCTGATCACCACCTGCAAAAATGTGAAACTTTATCAATCCATGTTGCCGTTATAAGATTGTTCAGGCATAGCACTAATTTCATCAATATTGAATAAAAAAAAATAACTGAAATATTAAGTGCTTGTTGAACATAAATTGGACTATGGTACAACAAAATGTGTACTACTGTAAATACAGGATAATTTTCTTCCCTGAAAAAAAAAAATATATATATATTTTAATTGCAGTTCATCAATTGGATTCAGTCACTTCATAACATCAGAATTCATATATTTTGGAGCAACAGACGTTAAGTCTACTTTGCAACCAATAGTTTAGATTATGAAAGATTTATTAAAACTGAATTAAATTTAACTAACTTCATGGAGTTGGGCCCTTCTTGTGAAGCCAGCAGTTGTGCAGCCATTAAAAAAATTCCCAACATTTTATGGGACCAAAAGGTTCATTACCATGTTCACAAGAGCCCTCCACCAGTCCCTAGCCTGAGCAGATCAATCCAATCAACACTAGCCCCTCCTATCTCTCTAAGATCAATTTTAATACTATCACCCACTCATGTCTTGGGCTTCCTAGGGGCCTCTTTCCTTCTGGCTTTCCTACCAATATCCTATATGCATTCCTCTTCTCCCCCATTCAAATCAGACTATGTTTTGTTGTACATATGTACAGATAATAATATTTCTGTTATGTTTCATGAACATGTTTTGGCTCTGCATAACCTAAACAGTCATTTAAGTGTAGTTATATAAACTAATAAAGAAACACATTAGAAGGCGTGATGATCCACAAACTACAGTGGTTCAAATTCTAGGAAGAATTAATCACCTACTTTCCTTTGACATGACACAGATGGTTAAAGAAAACGAAAAACTTATGGAAGGGAGGGACAGACAGTGAGGTGTTCTCATAAGCCTCCTAACAATAATTAGGAGGGCACACAGACAGCAAGGTGATCTCACAAGCCTCATAAGTCTCAAAAGTTTGGGGGGGATACACAGGCAGACAGACACAGATGGATGCGCAAAGAGTCCACAAGGTAATCTCATAGCCTTTATTTTATTTCCTCCAATTTAGGAAAGTAGGTTATAAAGACATTATCAACAAACTGTTCATACTACTGGCCATCAGTGCATTAATGCCCATGTCAATTAAATATTCACATAATTTATATGTTACTGCATGTCTGACAACATTAATTTGGATTTACAGTCTCTTGTCATAAGTCCTTCAATTTCTGCCAACCATCAGCTGTAATGAAGTGGCTATCACTTGGCTCTGTCATCCAGAAGTTCAGGGTTCAAACCTTGACACTGAGACTGGCTATTGTGATTATGGTTTTTCATGGTTTCCTAAGTTCCTTCATGCAAATGCCAGAATAATACCTCAAATTATGCTACAATTACTTCCTTCCATACCATTTCTAATCAATTATTCCCTTATACATTATTGTCATCGTTTTATTATTATTGTTGTTGTTGTTGTTGTTGTTGTTATTATTATCTTATCATAAAATGCTGTAAACTTAGAAACTGAAATCATTGTCCATTAAACAAGGAATGAATAAATTAACTTACCATCAAAGCTTCCTTTTGAAAGGGCAAATTTAATAAGTGCATTGAATGTGTCTAATGACGGTCGATATACAAATACGCCCGAGTTGAAACAGTCCGGCCAACCGGGATCAGGCGCTGCTGACAGTTCCTCTCGTTCAAACAGTTCATCAGAATTCTTCAGTACCTGCAATGAAGCATGGAAAAGATTATGTTGGATTATGATTTACTCATAGCAGTGGCTATGAAGAGTGCTATTTTCTGGGATGTGAGGCAATGCAGTCCAAAAGAAGTTCACCAGGAATGGAGGTATAGCTCTACGCATTCTTAACCTTGGCACTAGATGAAGGTGAGTGGACAGTTCCATGGTCCAGACACTACACCCCCAGGGAAACAGACCCTCATGCCAAATGAAAAAGAGGGCAGATGTACCATGGGGTCAGTCTGGATGCTGCAGAAAAGAGAAAAATCTCTTGTCCATGTCACAAATTGAACCATTTTTTCCTCAAGATGCCTAGTCCAGAACCTAGTTGTGATACTGAGTGAGATACGTACATGAATACATTCAATTATTTAGTATGAATAGAATTAATTTTGACATCTCTTTCACATAATCAGGCATTTACATTTTGGATACCCACCAACACAGGCTAGGCCTGTTGCCTTCTTCTTTCTGGTTATTTCCTTGGATTACTCTGTGTCCCTGGAGATGGTGGCAGTATATTCAAATCAAATGTCAGTAAACCTCTACTGGACTATATGGCATTACATCCCAGAAGATATAAACAAAAGATAAAGTTATCCCTATCCCTACCTAATTAAGCACTATGCCATGAAAGCATATAGGCTAGTGGATGTACAGATCCACATCTTCTTGACCTAGGCACTAGCTGGAGGTGAGTACCCAGAATATAGTACATGACACAGTGTTGTTGTTGTTGTTGTTGTTGTTGTTGTTGTTTTATGCTCGTGAATATACAAAATGTGAATGCCTGGTTACATCAAGGAGATGCCAAAATGCATTATACATTAAATGTTTTAATGTATGTATGGTATTCTAAGGGCTGGGATAGCTCAGTTTGTATAGTGAGTAAGCTACAAACCGAATGATTAAGGAGTTATGGTACAATTCCATACAGAAGCAAATGACATTTCTCTTCTCTATGGCATCAAGAAAGGCTCTAGAGCCCATCTGACTATTTCTCAGGGCTTAAAGTGACTGAGCTGTGAAGCTGACCATTCTCCCAGTTCTAAAGCCAAGGTTACAAAGTTGTATAGATGTATGTCTCCATTCCCCCAGATTTATGCATGACATACTTCATAATTAAGCACAGAGACAACTTCTAATTTCAGTCTTTAATAGTCCTTAACACGAAAGAGATGTCAACACATTCTGAAGGCTGGTGGCAAGGTTATCTGTGTGGTAACAGAAAAAGCCCTCTCAGATAATCTGAGGGGACTAACCTATATTCAGTCCATATATATTGTTTTCATTATGAAATACAAGGTCCAGATAAGATTACGAAGCTACAGTGGTTCCTTACACCAGCTCTTTAACATTTAACTCCATATAACATTCTCACTAAACATGTACAAAAGAAGAAAGCCGTCTTCTTGGATGTGGCGCCGTGTATAAATTGTATTAATCGATGTTTCGGAGGAACGTATCGCCTCCATCTTCAGGGTAGGAGACAAGAAGAAATCCATGAGTGAACCAGCTAGAGCAGGTGCAACAGACTGATTCCAGTCAAGTAAGTGGGGAGTGAGTGGGGATAGATAGGGAAATGGTAGAGAGGGGGAAGGGGAGGGTCTGGTGGAATGGCCAGCAAGTAAGTAGGCCAGAGCAAGTATAGAGTATATCCCACTGCGTTGCAATGAATATTGTAATTGTTCATCTCTGACAAATATAAAATTATTTTAGTAATGGTGGTAATTAATTTAAAAGTCTCACTTTGAAACTATGAATATTACAATTGTTGATCTCTGAAGAATATAAAATTATTTTAATAAGACTGGAAATTAATTCTAAAGTTCCACTGACATACAAACAGTAAAATCTAACAGTTTAATAAACGCTTAGATGTGTGAAAATGTGGAGACTGCACAACTGACATCCAGAGAAAAACTCAGTTTCTGCAGATCCTGAACTAAACGCAGAGATGTGGTAACTGTATACATTTAAACTGAAAATCTGTTCAGTGGATTGATGTGAACTTAAATGTAATATAATTGATTGATAATCTGTCACCCTATCTCATTCAATTGTAATTATAAACATAAAATAAAAATTGTATTAAGTTCACGAGCAGAATGATTTTTGAAGAAGGAATATTTGCTCAACCAGATATAAAATTCCTACCCCTTCGAGGAACCTGAAGATTTTATTTTGTGTATTATTTTACAATACTGCTAATTAACGAGAATATACAGTTTCAAATGGTAGGATGAAAGATGAATGACAAATTGTAAAGCATTTTAAAGAAATAAATTATGGCCTAATTGAAGTGCTATTCCAGCAAAGTTATCCCTGTGCTTAATTAAGCCATGAAGACATATGGCAAAGTGGAGGTATAGATCCACCATTCTTGAGCTCAGCACTAAATGGAGGTGAGTGGTCAGCTTCACACCACAGCCACTGTACCCCCAGAGAAAGCGCCCCCCAGTACCCACTGGACAAGAGTGAGACCAAGAGCTGGTCTGAATGCTGTGGAGTACAGAAAAATCTCTTGCCTCTGGCCAGATTTGAACCCCTGCCATCCAGTCAGTAGACCACGCTACATCAACTCAGCTACCTCGGCTCCCTGGAAGTTCCGAGAAAAGCAACGGAAGAGGTCAGGATAGTCAAGAGTCTCACCCAAGATTCAAAGTGAACATGGCTGACTGCATTACTACTATGCTAATCTGTTCGGTCTGAAGGTTCATACAAAACTAGACATTTGCATAAGTCCACAATATGTAAGTTGACTTTTTAAAGGTTCAAAGTTGTTAAGTCCCACAATGAAGAGGTATAGCAATTTAAAGCCTATGATGGAGTAGCATAGCTACTGATAGGCTCCCCCTTCTGGGACAGGTGGAAAGGAAAGGGCGAGACAAAGAGGAATTCCCTAGTCCTCCAGGGTAGGGGTTGTCCAGATAGGCTGCTGATCTCCAAACACAGAATATCATAATATTCTGTGGGAACTGCCCACATTCAAGCAAGTGTGACAACGCAAACGTCATTGCTTGGCAACAACGAGTAAACAATGGTTGCTAGGCAAAAGCAAGTAAACAGCGGTTGCTAGGGAACTAGTAAACACGGTAACCGGCAATAGCAGCACCTATTACGTAACCGTTTTCCATATGTCCGATTCTAGGCTACATAAGAAGATACACTGAGTTACAGTGACAGTCTAGAGTCTAGTTCTACCGTTCTACAATACCAGTTCAGTGTTCGAGCAGTGCACTATTGTTATCCGTCTGTGTATACTGTGCAGCTGCAATAAATCCTATAGGACAGTCCAACTAGTGGTTGTCTATTCATTCATACGACAATCCCACAATTCTTAAAATTCAACAGAGTTTACAACATATTAAGAAAGAACTGAAAACACAAGCAGTACATAATAAAATAGAGGAATACAGACAAAACTGGATAAACCATCTGCGTAGAATTACAAAAAACACTGAACCAGACTGTACAGTATGAACCAAAAGTATGTCAAGAACTTAAAAAAGATGTAATGATTATATGAAATTATAAAAGGCTTTATTTCCTGTATCAGAGGAAGAAGCAGGATGAGGTGGAGGAGCAGCAGCAGCAGAAGAAGAAGAAGAAGAAGAAGAGGAGGATGAGGAGGAGGAGAAGAAAAAGAAGAAGCAGGATGAGACGGAGGAGCAGCAGCAGAAGGAGGAGGAAGAAAAGGAGGAGGCAGAGAAGGAGCAGGAGAAGAAGCAGGAGGAGGAGGAGGAGGAAGAGCAGCAGCAGCAGCAGAAGAAGAAGAAGAAGGGTTACACAAACAAGAGGAGGAGGAGCAGCAGGAGGAGGAGGAGGAAGAGGAGCAGCAGCAGAAGAAGAAGAAGGATGACACAAAGAAGAGGAGGAGGAGAATATGATGAAGATAATGCTATATGCAGGCCCCACTGGCTGCAGATACCACAACAATTTTCTCCTTCGCTGGCACACAACACTACGTGCGTCCCTGTTTTGTATTGAATTAAGCCAGAGCACAAAATTAAGCTTCTGCAGCTAAATATAAAGCATTGCAGGCGGATGTAAAAATAGAGTGCAGTGAAGTGTTAGATTAAATATTATGAGAAAAGAGCCCAGTGACTTTTGGGAAAAACATGGCATCACAGCGGATTTGTGTTGCCATGAATCGGGGACCACACACATACACAAACACATTCCTTAATAGCAGAGAACGTTCAGGCAGTCAAAATGTTTACATTCTAAAGCACTAAATGAGAAGGGATAACACAGATGAGAGTTTTGTTTTACATCTGTTTCAAGTTCAGATTTTATTTGCTCAAAATCTATTTTGCTGTCTCAGAAATAATGTAATACGTTAAAAATGATAAATTAAATCAACCAATTTTCCACTTCTAACAAAATAATGAAGTTTGTCTTCAGGTATAATTATACTGTTACACCTGATAAATCTACTGGCTCAACAGCCGAGAGGCCAGAGTTCAAGTCCCACTAGGGGCAGGATTTTTCTCCTGTCCAAGTTGTCCAGACCAACACTGGAGCTCATGCAGTCTCCTCTCCAATGGGTACCATGAGCTCTTTCCCTAGGAGATAAAGTGGCCAGGGTGTAAACTGATCAGTTACCTCCAATTACTGCCGAGGTCAAGAATACATGGATCTATATATCCAATCCCCCATAGGTCTTCATGGCATAGTGCTTAAACAGTAAAGCACAGGGAAAGCTTCACTTTTACCTTCTATTCCTGATATCTAGTATTCCGAATAGAACAGAGAGTTTTGGAAGCTGGACAAGTTTTAATCCTCACATGAAAATGTGGAGACACACTCACTCAATTGAGTCTTTCAGAAAGAGCTAGCCTCAGTCATCAGACCTCATGCCTCTCCACCAACATGTAACACGACTTAAAATCAGCAGCAACTGGGGATAGCTTAGTCAGTATAGTGAGTAATCCGTAGGTCAAACAGTCAAGGAAACAAGATTCAATTTCCGGCAAAGGCACAGAGATTTTCCTCTTCTCCATACCACGCATGATGACTCTAGGGCCCAGTCAGCCTACCTTGGTGGTAGGAGTACTGAAGAGTCTTTCCTCAGGGGGCATGAAGATAACACACTACTCTAATATATGTCAAATGAACAATATTAGTGCAGTAAAGCAGTCTGAGCATAGTAAGACACCTGAAGATGGCCATTTAAGGCCAAAACATGTTGTGTCGAAAGTGAAAGTGTAAGAAAGAGGGAACAATTCGTTGGATTGTTGATGCACTGTGTAGTACATAAACAGGATGCTTAAATACAGGAATGTTATTCATATCACATTAAATTAATTTCTGATTTGTGAGAGCTCAGTCATTATAGTTACTAGGATGGAGGACTGAGGAATCAGGATTCGATTCCCAGCAGAGGCAAGATACATGTATCTTCTCTTTCCCACAGTGTTCAGATCTGTTAGAGACCTGCCTGGACTCCAATCCCTTTTGTACCAGGGGCTCTTTCCCTGGTGGCAAAATGCCTGGGATATGAAGTAACACTTACTTTCAACCAGCACCAAGGTTTGGAATGCTATAGCACCACTGTCCAATACATCACCATGGCGTGGGGCTTAATTAAACACAGGGACAACTTTAGCTTTACTTTTACTCTAAAAGTAAACTAAAGTAAAAAATGTAAATGTAACCCTATAACAGGCTGTGGAGGCCCATAGGGTTGTAAGATTTTGAGGTTCCCACATTTTCTAGACAATGGGCTCATAGATGGTGGTAAGGTTGTCATCCTAATGTGCTGACCGCCCTTTACCCCCAAGAACATTCCAAGAATATTTGTGGTACTCATTTCTGTTAGAGGCTGAATTGACCCCACGGCCATAGTGTGGCTGGAATGACCTCATTGGGATTTGAAACCGCGACCTTCTGCTTTCTAGCATAGTGCCTCAACCAACTACGTTGCCTCCTTACTTTTACTCTGTCATGCTTAAATTAACTGGTTTATATGTAGAGTACAGTAAATTTAAATGGATGGAGCTAATCTATTCCTGCAACTTTTCTATTAATTACATCAAGAACTTACCAGAGTATCAGCATCCAAGAAGACGCACTTCTCATATTGTGTGAGTCGCCAACAGTGAAGTTTGGTGAATGTGATTCCAAGTTCGGGCCGCTCCAGTAAGGCAAGGTTAGCTTCATCGCGTGAATCAAGAAGATTCACTTCTTGGACCAGAGTAAAGACTGATGAGAGCCGGTCCCTTACATAACAAATTTCAAAATATGAGCCAGGACAAGGGTCAGCTTCCGTAAGAAATTTTGTATCGAAGTCTTCGGGTGCCTCAGAAAAACTTGCTACCTCAAACTTCAGTAAGAAGACACTTCTACAGTCAGAATAGAGGCAGCAGTTTCCTCTGAAAGACTGGTAATGACAGATTAGATTACAAGATATTATATCCCTGAACACCGCAGTTGAAATAATTATCACGGTACCGGGAAAACTCGCTCAAATGGTAACAGTTCTAAGTTGTATTCTGGAGGTGTCTGGTGTGAATACTGCCTGGAACACTAACTGAGGCTTTCTGTAGTTTTCCTAAGTTCTCTCCAAGCAAACGTTGGGACAGTATTTCAAATCAGTCCATCACTACTTCCTTCCAGATCAGTTGAAATTCATTATTTACTATCATCCATTAATTTGACAATATGCAGTCAGAGGTACTGACAGGGCCATTAAATAAACTACACTCAAACAAACCATTTGGATTTGGGGTACTGATGGAAGTCACTGAGATGAGTGTTATCTTGTGTGATGTACCACCACATAGTGAGGTTGAAGTTTATCGATATTTTGGAGGAATGTACTGCCTTACTTTATTTGTTCCTTGCTTATCTGTTTGCCCAAATTACTCTTTGACCATGAATATGGAGGCAGTGTATTCCTCCAAAATGTCAGTGAACATCTATTAGCCTATATTCCAAAAGACAGTACTCTCCAAGCAAACACACAACACCATGAAAAACACCATATCTCATCCTGTGTTATATTTTTTTGCACCCTGTTGTGTAGATCACTATAGATAATATTTATCATATCCCGGATTCAGAAGCACTCATGTGCTGAACTAGACAGCAAACTCCATCTGCTGGAAACAGTGCTGCACTGACATAAATATAATAAATATTACATGTATCAAATCCCATACTCTGTAATGAGATTTCAAGCCACTAAACGGGTGGAAATAAAACATTATGACATCCTAAACAGAACAGGTACAACATTTTCTTATGTTTCTTCCAATAAGACTTAATAATAAAAAAAAAACCTCCGTGGCTTGTAGTCCGCAAGTGGACTATACCGACCGAATGCCAGCCGCTTGTCGGCAAAGTCAGTGTCAACTCTTGCTGATAGAGGGTGTCATGCGGTCAGCGTAACGGATCCCTATGGCCGTTAATCTAACCATAAGATAATTCAAAATAAAGTGCAATCCTACATAACATATGCAGTTGAAAAATGATTATTAAATAAACTAAGAACAAGAGGTCTACCATGAACACTAGCAGGGCAAGGAAAGCCAGGGATTCATCCTCATTATGCAGTTTTCTCCAAACTATCGCCATTGCATCCCGCTTCAGTTCAAATATTCTCCTCAACACCCTCAGTCTATGTCCCTCCCTTAATGTCAGAGACCAAGTTTCACACCCATACAGAACCACAGGCAAAATTATAGTTTTGTATATTCTAACATTTACGTTTTTAGGCAGCAGATGAAAAGACAAAAGGTTCTGAACTGAACAGTACCAAGCATTACCTGAGTTCAATCATCTCTAAATTTCCTACTGAATCAAATTTTGATTTGTAACTGTAGCATTTTATGTTAATATAATCCTTATAGTACCATAAAAGCAGCATAACCTAAATTTCTGCTCCTTATCCCATTTATTTGTGTGTCTTATGTACGAGTCTACATTCCTTGTTGTACCTGTATGAACCTGTCTTGCATGGCTGTAGCTAATACAGGGGTTTTGGCAACCTGTCTTCTTAGTTTCCCCTTCAGTTCATTTATTATTCCTGGCACAGCTTGTAAACACTACCTCCAAAAACAATTAGACAATATAAGATCTTTCATCTGTGGAGGTCATTCCAAAAATCTCATTTCCTGTTACATACTGGAGGAGTAAGAGGGTTGTAAAAAATACTCTCTTTTCTTCTTGATTACATCAACCTCTTCCTTTCCTTCCCCCGCAACCAATAAAACGAAGACAAAATGAAGTATGAAAAACTGAGATCTAACGTCTCATGGGATTACTGGGATCAGTCTTCTGGGATATGATATTATGCAGTTAGGTAGACAGGTGCCATCTTCAGCACAGAGAGTTACTATCTAAGTTCTATATTTAGAGAATTACCTAAATTAAAAACAAAATAATGATCTATACATACCTCATAGAAGCTGAGACACCAGGGGTGACCAGTACGACCAAGTCGTGAGGCGTGCCCACTCGTCGTAATGAATGCCCCAGGACCAAAGCACCAAGTGAATAGGAATCATTCGTTGCCAGTGTCACCCATGCAAACACTGCAAAAACGGAATATGACGCATTAGCTCTGCATTTCCCTTTTACCTTATATATAAATAATCTTTCACTTGGCACATTTTAGAATTAGGCGCATCATGAGTACTCAGGATGTTTCAAATTTTACGGACTTCCATGCAGTATTCACAAATCTTACTTTCCTAATGCACATATTCCTAGTCCTACACATCTTTCACTTTTCTTACCGTTATCCTTTTATTTTATTCTGTGAACAGTTTATTGTGTAATTACATATCCTGTACACACTAAATCTGCCAGATATATGAGGGATATTCTGAAAGTAAAGATACAAGTCCAGTAAAAATGCAGAAATGTCAGCGCTGCCGTGTGAGATAGGAACCGTATGACAGGGCAGAGTTCACCGGTCACAGTCACGGCAACGTTGTTCTCGCAGTGTGTGTTTAAAATGGCCGTGTCGATTCAAAATCCCGCCAAATGTGAAGTTCGTGCAGTAATTCGATTTCCTCACGCGAAAGGAGAAACTGCTGCTGAAATTCGTCGCCAACTTCTTTCTGTATACGGCGAAGATGTTATGAACAGGCAAAACGCAGCAAAATGGTGCCCTGAATTTGAAGCGGGAAGACGTGAGGTTCATGATGAAGGCCATCCGTTGTCGCTGATGAAAACATTCGTGCTGACAGACGTGTAACCATCGATGAACTTCATCAGCAATGTCCAGAAGTGTCATGACCTGTTCTTCTTGGCTAAGAGAGCAGGCGGGAGATTTCTACGATGCTGGAATAAAAAAGAAACTCTTTCCCAGGCTCACTAAGTGCATTGAGATCCGTGGTGACTATGTTGAAAAGTAAACAAAGGTGTGCTATAACAGTGCTACAAGTGAATCCCTCCCCCCCCCACACACACACACACACTAAAATGCTCTACAAATATTTTCTGGACTTCGTATCTTTACTTTCCGAATATCCTTCAGACTATCAAAGTTTTCAGCTGTCGCCATGTTTGTAAGCATGTAGAGTGACGGCCGCGCCATCGGTCAAGCGGTTAGTCGTTGGCTTCCCACCGCGGCGGCCCAGGTTCGATCCCGGGTCTGGTCAAGTGGGATTTGTGGTGGACAAAGTAGCGCTGGGGCAGGTTTTCTCCGAGTACTTCGATTTCCCCTGCCAATCTTCATTCCACCAACTTCTCCACAATCACCCTCGTCTATCATCTGGAGCTGGTACAATAGGCCAGAAGTGGCCGCAGTACAAGGGACTTAGTCCCACCCCACTAGCAATAAAAAAAAATAAAAGCATGTAGAGTACTATTGTGTGGGATGTGATACCATGTACTCCTGTTGAAATTCACCGACATTCTTGAGAAACGTACTGACTCCATCTTCATGGTCGAAGTATAACACATACTGTATTTCACAAATCACTATACATAATAATATATCTTACATTCCTGTCAATATAACACTATTTCCGGCAGGTGGAGTTTGCTGTCTAGGATGACATGTTTCGCAACATATTTGCCATCTTCAGGTGTGTGTTTTTAGTCACAGTTATTCTATCATGTATCTAGTGTACAACACACTGGTGGAGCCACTCGACCTAGGCGGAAAATTTATGCTGACTACATGACAGAATAACTGCAACTACAAACCAGACCTGTAGGTTATGTACATGTGCTCGAACTTGTCGTGCTAGACAGCAAACTCCACCTGCTGGAAACAGTGTCGTGTTGACAGAAATAAAATAAATATTATCTATAGTCAGAGAACAAGCCAAGCAAGCAAAGTATGCAGTGTCTTCGCGGTCACTGTCGTTAGAACCTCAAATTTCATATAGTATGTATAATTCTGTAAAGCGCTTTGAATGGAGTTAAGTGACTTGCTGAGAGATTATTTACTCTGGTTGTCCCAGAGTCATATTAAGGACCCATAAAAATACATCGCATCCTATGACACAGCAGTTACAATAGAAGTTAAACCTATCTCTGCAACAGGCTGTGCAGGCCCATAGGGNGCACTTGATTGTACGCACTGTAGATGGCGGTAAGGTTGTCAGCCTTGCGCGCCGCCCGTCCTTTACCACCAGGAATATTCCTGGTACTCATTTCTGTCACAGGCTGAGTCGAACCCAGGGCCATAGTGCAGCTGGAAGGATTAGGTCAACTGAAAAATCCAATGACCTCATCAAGAATCAAACCCGCGACCTTCCGGCTTGCAAGAATAGTGTTCCCTCCCATTTTACAGCAGTAACAGCCTGAGAACGCACATAAACTTCGCTTCTTTCTGGGCCATATGTTAATTATAATTATGAAACACATTAAGCCGAATTACATTAGTCATTCTACGGGTATGTACATTTTGACACATTACTGTCACTAATGCTACTGAGTCAACAGTTATTTTATTGTTGTTAAATAAATGGTAAAAATTAGTTCTCTTAAATGTTTCTGTTCTCCTTTTCCCCCCTCGAATTAAATTTTTAAGACAGTTTCCTATGAACTTCTCTTTTAGGCACTCTGTGGCTAACTGGTCACATTCCCATATATGGATGGCATACTATGGTAATTTCTAACTGAAGCCTTCATCTGGTGATAATTTCCGAGAGTTTGAAGAGGAGGATGGTTACGACTGATTAATCGGTAAGGATTTGGAAGGAAATGTCAGTGGTCTATTCGAGGTATTATCCCGGAATTTGCCTGTGGAGACTGAGAAAAAAATTAAGTTGTCCCTGTGCTTAACTAAGTATTATGCCATGAAGGGGTATGTGGGAGTAATGTATAGATCCACATTTTCTTGACCTCGGCACTAGCTGGCGGTGAGTTGTCAGCTTCACGCCCCGGTCGCTTTATACCTGGGGAAAGAGCCCCTGATACCCATTGGATAGGAGGTTGGGTGGACCCCACTGGCGGTCTGGACGACAAGCAGAAAATTCTTGACCTAACCGGGACTCGAACTCCGACCCCTCGGTTGTGCAGCCCGTGACCAGTCGCAATATCGACTACGCTACCCTAGTTCCTCACAAGAAACACCTCAGTTAGGGTAACCGGTGTCCTGGCGGAGATTCGAACTAAGCACCTCCCAAATACAAGTTTCGATCATTACCGTTAGAGAAACATGTTTGGTGATTTTGATGATTATGGCTTAGCTGAAGGCAATATCGCGGAACTCGCTTGCAGAAACAGGAACTACGATGAACTCCATAGGAATAACCGACAACCAATATATTCCATCAGGACAGCCGGTAAGAGAGGCCTACAGTACTGCTGCAACTCCAGCATTCTTAGTGCCCACTGAAATGCTTCAGGATTGTGAAGGAGGTTGCAGGATGCTGCTATTAACAAACGCCTCTGCGAACACGTTATACCTCGAGTACACAACATGACAGAGGAAAATTCCTGCGTGTTCAACGAAATGTTAGAAATGACGACTTTCGTTCTCATCGAATGTTGTAAATTCACTCATGAAGCTGAGCCCTTCTTGAGAATCCGCCAGTTGTGCAGAATTTCCCATCATTTTGTGGAACCCGAAGTTTCATTACCGTGTTCACAAGAGCACTCCATTGGTCCCTATCCCGAGCCAGATCAATCAAATACATACCATCCCGTCCTATCTCTCTAGGATCCATTTTATTATTGTCCACCCACCCACGCCTTGGTCTTCCCAGTGGTGTCTTTCCTTCTGGCTTTCCCACCAATATCCTATATGCATTCCTCTTCTCCCCATTCGTGCTACATCCCTCGCCCATCTCATCCTTCTTGACTTGATCATTCTAATTATACTTGGAGAAGAGTACAAGTTATGAAGCTCCTCATTATGCAGCTTTCTCCAACCTCCTGTCACTTCATCCCTCTTCGGTCCAAATATTCTCTTCAGCACCCTTTTCGAATATTGTAAATAAAATCTGATAACTTTCTAATAGTGACGTAACGATCTGTGGCACTATATATTAATGACGCAACCTCAATGGTGTTTTAGACACGGTATACAAATCGACCGGAAGACTTTCTTATGCCTTAAAATGGCGAGCATTATTTACACAGAGACTAAAAGTGAAAACCATCAGTCGTTATCCTACTCAAGTTCACCCTTACTGTGATGAAGCCAAACTTAGAAACTCTTGTAAGGGTTATCTCTCCAGCTTTGAATATTGAAGCCACAAATAGACACAACACTTTTTAAGAGAACCTTGCCTTGGCATGGGATTCCCCTCCCACGAGGGGCTTGAAATTCCACTTCTGAGTTACCTATCATCCTGTCAGCTTTTTCTAGCTACCACTAAGGTCAAAGCACTTTTTTTCCTCCAATGATGGAGATGGGGTTCTGATCTTAAAAATAGCATCAAGAATGCAAAGTACCAGTTCAGATTTCTGTCTCCCAGTCAAATGTTTCATCAGTCTAGACAAACCTCGTGCTATACACCGCTTCACGTTTTTATAAACATTCAGCATTGACTCTTCCTGTATGTCTTACTCTTAGCTGAACAAACTGACATACTGACAACGCTCTAGACTCGTATTTGGAAAGTCCTCTATTCGAAACTTCTCCAAGATAGTTGATAGCCTGACTGAAGTCTTTTGCAGTTTCTCTCAAGCCCTCAAGACAAACACCGGGATAGTACCTCGACTAGGACATGATCGCTTGCTTCCAAATAATTTCCAATCCATCATTCTACTGCGCCACACTACAGCGGGTGTAACTGAAAGATGCGGAGAAACTTCAGGCACGAGTTCCATATAACAAAACAAGAAAACCTATTCATATGAACAGGTCAGAAAACATTTAATTTGTGGGTTATAAAAGGTAAAGTTGTCCCTTTGCTTAACTAATTAATCACTACGCCATGAAGACGCATGGGGGTGTGTATGTATAGATACAAGTTTTCTTGATCTGGGCAATAGTTGGAGGTGGTCAGCTTCGCGGCCCTGCCACTTTACTCCCGGTACCCAGTGGGTAGACCCCAGAGCCGGTCTAGACGACGTGGAGAAGAGAAAATTCTTGACCCTACTGGGACTCGAACTCCGACCCTTC